TAGAGTAGTTATTGGCGGGTCTGTTGGATTTTGGCGAAGCTCTTAGACTGCTTTAGCTGGTGATCTTGGGGTCAAAGGTTTGAGATATCATACGTATCCAGGAGAGAGCTCTCTCTGCCATACCATATATTTTTTTCGCTTATGCTCGACTTAAGTTTGAGTTATACAGTGCTCAGGAAATGAGTGATAGCATCATAACCTACGGAGAGCCGCGGGTGGTGGGTGATCTGATTGCAACCGCTTTTCTCTTCCCGCTGACTGCTGGTACTTGCACTGGTAGATTTTGGCAGGGAAATTTTCATGCATCAAGCAAGCATTAAACACCAAACATCAGTAAATTCCTGCCAAACGTCGGTTTTCAAATTCTATTCCACCAACCCATTTTTTTCGATTCCTTTACCCTCTCTGAAAAATCACAGACAGCACAATGACGACGGCTCAGCCTACAACTATGGGAAATGCGGTTGTCCAACTGTCACCTCAAGCCACTGCGAAGTGGGAACTTGGTGTTTCTCTCATCTTGGATAGCTGGGATGTGCTCACAGAAGCTGTGAACAATCTGTGGGGCGGAGAGGATAGCTCAGGCAAGCGGGATTGGCTTGCTGGGGCTATCGTCGAAATGTTCGAAGGACGGCCGGATAGCGATGAACAGGATATTGAGGAAACATTATTGCAAGTCATGGAGGATGAATTCTCGGTGTCTCTAGAAGATGATTCATCATGGATTGTAAGTTGATCACCCTAATTGCTGCATCTTGCCTACGAAAAGGAGCACCTAAGCTAATGGGAATGAGTAATTAGATTGCACGCCAGATAATCGTACTACGAAAAGAGATCATAGACGGCAATTTCTTTACTGTTGATAAGCTCCACGAAAGATTCCTTGCAAAGCCCAAGAATCGATCAGCTTCAACGTTCAAAGAGGTGGTTGGCGAAACCGCCTCATTGACTAGCGAGGAGAGCGAAGGTGACGAAGAAATGGGAGATGCTCCCCCTGCAGCACCATCTCAACCCAGGCAACCCCGACAGCCACTGGAGCCGACCGTCGATGAGGATGGATTCGAATTGGTGCAGAAGCGGGGAAGTAGGAGGCGATAGTTGGGATGTTGAGTTTAAAATTTCGACACTGTTCACATGGGATGGAGTTTTGTGAATTTTTTTGTACAGAAAAGTTATTTCAATTTACATTACATACCTATTGATTCTTTGGAGGTTAAACTAAATTCTGATCCCGAAATTCCATTACTGGTACAGTACTTGAGCAATGGTGCTTGCTTGTATAGAGAGTTAATGATATATGTAGTCTACTGTCGAGATGAATGATTCTCAGCATCTATATTTCTGATCCCGCCGTAAATCCACAAGTTTGAGAGGATTCCGTTAAACATAGCCCATAAGGTGATAACTTACCGTATGTATCTTTGATAAGTATACCGCCATATCCCTTAAATCTGGTGCACGCTGAGCGTGCAGATATATTATGGTAAATGATTTGGGTGAGATAAATGATGTCTGCTCCATAAGCCCTGCCTACCCCTCTTGGCACCCCACTATCCCCCACCTCGTCAACACGCCAAATAATTTCAAGTGTGACACGCCTAACCTGTCACCAACAACACGCTTCCTCGGAGGCCTGGCAACGCCTTCAACACACAATGGAATTCTTTCTTGCAAAAGTGTCACAACAAGCAGGTATGTCTTTAGCTCTTTCTTACTCTAGGGAATCTCGCTGACTTGGCCCAGTGTCTTTTGCAATAAGGTAAAACTTCCAAAAACTGGTTCACTTATCGAGGCTATTCCTCACTAACGAATCCAGGTCGGGCATCATTGTCACGAGTCAGTTTGCTATAAAAGAATGCGGTCGTTATATATCTGTAAGTCCATGGGCCATGGGCGGGAAATAGATAATTCGCTTGTACCATTTTCTGAGCTAACAAGCTCTATCTTTCGCAGTCAATCAAGGGCAAAGACAGGCAAGAACTCCAAGCTCTCCAGGATCGACTGGAGCAAAAAATCAGAGTCAGTTCCGATGTTAAACGAGCTAGCTTTCACTGCTAACTATTAATAGATAATATCGCCGGCAATAGACTTGGTGGAGATCATGTATGTGCCTCGGCCATGGAACCTCCGTGTACTAGTTTGACTAACTTAAGCTATACAGTTCTGCAAGAGGAAATACCTCACTCGAGAGTGCCCTGACATTGACAAAAAATATAAGACATAACATTCAGTCACTAGGGGTTAGAGTTGCCAGCCTGTCCGCTCAGGAAGGTGGCCGTAAAAGACTTAAAAGCCCAGATGAAATCAATGCTGTGGTTCAAGATATCAAGCAACTTTTAAGGAAGATTGAAGATGTATCCACCATCACACGCTCTCTTAGCTATGCACTGAAGCTGACAGTTAGCCCTAGGCGGTTCCTTTCATAAACCTGGCAATTACTACATCTGGGGTGAATATCTCATCGAACATTCCACACAATGTCTCGCCTTCCCGCCTTATGCAAGCTTCAACCTTACTTACAGCTGGTGATACCGCTTATTCAATAAACCCCTTCAACCCGGCACAAATTGGCACCACTTTTACATTGAGTCTCTACATGCTGTTTGCTGGTCACTCACATCGACAAGAACATGTATCTTCAAAGGATTTGACATGGCAAGAGGTTATTTACAAATGCAAAGTAAAGCTTCAGAGGGTACCATTAGTCTATGATGACGATCAAGATGACGACGGGGCGAACCGCAACAACAATCAGCTCCGTGCTCAAAGTAAAATTGATGAATACTGCTATGAGCTTTGTCTGATCGAAGATCTGGATGATGGGAGAATGCATGAGGTTGAAGAAGGAAAGCAACCGCCAGGAAGTTTTGAAGATGTGGGAAAGGCCGGGTTAAGAACCAGGATACCAATCCACCAAATTTCCAAGATCTTTTACACTAACAGTGGACAACTTCTTGGGATCGAAGATTCGAACTCCCCGATACTTCTGGTTAAGCGAGATTTAAATGCTGCGCCACCTCGAAAACTGGTTGATCGGGTTGAGCAATATGATTATGGCAGTGACAGCGAGGGAGAGTACCCCTTGGACATGCGCGAGGAGGATAGCAGAGAAATTGAACCCCAGCAAGAACTTCCGGAGGAATATGAACTTCCCCACCATCTTGACGCGGAGTGGCTGGCTTTTGAAGTTTTTACGGAACCAGAGCCAGGCTTCGATGATGCAGCATCTGAATACAGTGACGCCGAGGAGTCACTGTCTATACCCGGATCATCTCCCCCAGGATCAGTCGCCGACCCAAATACATCCCTAGCACAAGCTCTGTCAAATGTAGAGTTAAATATCAACGAACACCCCTCATCACCCACACCATATACTTCCCCGAACGTCAAGTCTACCCTTTCGATTCTGGAATGCCTCCTCAGACTCACCATTTTACAAAACCACCAACAAACCTCCCACCTTGCCGTCCACGACGAGCTCCTAAACCTCTTCCTGTCTGACTTAGCATGGGGTGGCACTCGCGAGAGCAGGCAACAAGAGCGAGAGAACGCCCGGCGAAGGATCGGCTTCGACCCCTTCGGCTCACCTACGAAACCGGAAAAACAAGCGAAAGTCGGCACAATCCAGCTCACGGGGAGTGGTGGTAGTAGAGTTAATAGTCGCCAGGGGAGTAGTAGGGGCACACCACAGTCTTATGGAAGAAGCTACCATCTCGATTCAAGCCTGCCCATGACTCCAAGCTCGGATTCGAAGAAGCCATTACCTAACCTTGGCGATCGGGAGCAGCCGGTGTTAGCGAGTAATCGGGAGTTGTGGACGCCCGAGCAGCAGTTGAGCTCTATGTTTAATAGCCCCTATGGGACGAGTCCGTTGGCTAAGAAGAACCCGCCGGGGGGGAATAAGTTTGGTACGGAGGAGGGGGGGTAGTAGTAATGGATTGAGGAACAAGCGCTTTTTTTTCATGATGTTACCCTTGTCTTTTTTTTTCTTCTTTTCTTTCATGTGAGTTTAGTGGCGATGAGATGACAAGTTAGGAGGCGTTTGGCTGTATCATAGTACTTAACGTTAGCTAGTTGGGGTGTTTGTATGAAAGTGATGGGATAGCTGATATTACTACAGTAGGGTAGTTGTAGATTTGGGGGGTGTAATGGTAGATGGCTACTCTTTCTTCTTTTTCTTCTTCTTTGCGCAAATGCTGTATGCAGCATGGCGTTTCTTTAAGCAGTTTTTCGTGGAGTATGGATTCCCGATACAGTACCTTGATGTTAGTGCACGGTAGCAGTACCAGTAATATCAAAATCCCAAGTCGCCTCAGAAATACTTTCCAACTCCCATTTTCACTCATTCAGTCAGAGAAAGAAAGAAGAAGAAAAAAAGGATTACAGATGTTTACGCCGCGTGATGCATATGTCGGGTTACTTACCGCCCACTCCGTAACGTAACGTAATGTATTTTAAAGAATAATCCCCCCCCCCCCCCCACTCACTTGTTTGTAACTTTAATGATAGTGTATATAACAAGCGACTGCTTCTCTATTCCCATACGTTCATAACCCACTAGCTTTCCATACTTGTGTCTTTACTATTATACCCATCAGCCTACTCGTTTTAGTTATCATCCCTTCGCGTTTTTGGCTTGGATCTGACTAATCGTTCAGCATCCACCTACCGTACTAGAACTTATTTATACAAGTGTAACTGCTGTTGAGAGCACGAGTGATACTTTATGACTGTGAGTTAGTGGGGTCTGGACGTGATGTTGGGAAAAAAAATGTCGAATGGGAGGACGTGACGTTCGAATCATTGCTGCATCGGTTTTTGGTAGTAATGGTGATGGAATAGATTTCTATATGATGGCATGTTTACATTCATTCATCCATCCATATAATAGACGAAGATGATTACTGCCGTAGAGCACAATATATACATCCAACTTCCGTCCCCCCCCCTTCCTAATTCAAAACAAAAAACTTTTTTTTATATTACCCCATCCCCCCATCCCCCCATCACACAACATCTACAACCCTCCTCTCCTCCAGTCCCAAAAACCCCTCACTCATGCCCCGCCCATTCACAAGCGCTTGAGCAAGATTAACACTGCCGGCAGTCAGATACCTTGTCGAAAACCCGGCATTAACCCTCTCCTTCAAAAGCGCTTGTAACTCCGCCCTCCAGGCGGCAACCTCAGCCTTCGTAGCCAAGACCGCTCCATCCCGTCTCTTTTGCCCACCCTTTCCCCTTTTCCCCGCCGCTGCTCCGCCCCCCAAAAACTCCTCGCTATCATACTCGACCCCCAAATCTTCGGCAGCAGCTTTCAGCCACTCATCTTCATGACCCTTCTTCCCCTTTTCAATCGCAGAGTCTGCGATTCGTTTGGCAAGTTCTACCCGGCGTTTCAATTTACTTACTAGTTTGCGATCGACGTCGAAAGAGCGCATGGAGTAGCGGGCTGTCGATAAAGACTCTGGATCGTGGACTTTTGAAACGAGGCGGCGGACGCCGGCGACTTCGTCTGGGGAACAGAGGAGGATGCTGACGCCGTGCGCGTCCGCGCCACGCGCTGTACGGCCGGACCGGTGCACGTATGTGTCTGCTGTGCGCGGGAGGTGGTAGTGGATTATTAGGTCGACGTTTTGGATGTCCAGGCCGCGGGCTGCTACGTCTGTTGCTATTAGGATTGAGTGGTGGGGTTTGGATTGGGATGTGGTTGGGAGGGAAGAGGAGGAGGAGAAGCGTTCGAGGGAGCGGAGGCGCGCTTTTTGAATCATTTTGGAGTGCAGGGGGTGGGCGGGCAGGTTTAGGTTTGTTAGGAGTGGGGTGAGGCGTTTCACCGAGGTTATGGAGTTGGTGAAGATTAGGGTTTTGGAGGGGTGGCGGAGGAGGAGGTAGTATAAGTAAAGGTCCTAGAGGGGGTTGTTAGTTGCTTAGATGGTATGAGATATGGATAGATGGGTGTTGTTGGTTACCTTCTCCATAGCACCACATTCGATGATCCCTTCTTTCACCCTTTCAGCGAGTTGCCCGGCGGGGTTAACGTCTATGAATTTGGGAGCTGCGTCTTTGAACTTGAGCTTTTTGAGAAGATACTCCATACTCTCCTTCTCACCCATCAAGTCTCCGCCCAATCCCTTTTTCCCGCCCTTCCCGGCAAGCTTCTGCTGTAGACCTTTATGAAACGTTGCTGAAAAGACCAAGGTCTGTCGCTCGGTCACCTGCTTCTGAGACTTCTTCCTCCTGACAGAATTCCTCCTAGCGTACTCATCCTCATCAACGTTACTCCCACCTTCACTCTCGCTCTCGCTCTCGGCACCATCGTCCTCCTCCCGCCCAAGGAGGTTCATGACCTCCTCAACCTCTTTGAAGTGCCCTTCCTGCAAAAGTCGATCCGCCTCGTCCACGACCAAAAACTTCAATCCCTTCCGCAACTTGGCAATCCAACCCTGCCCTTCGGAAACAACCTCCCATAACCTCCCGGGCGTAGCAATGATCACGTCGGCGCCGCCGCGCTCGGTCAATTGCCGGAGTTGCTTCTGCAGCGAGAGCCCGCCGGTGACTGACACGATGGACATATCCGGCGCGTAAGCCGCCAGCGCCGTCAGGTGCGCGTGTAATTGATGCGCAAGCTCCCTCGTCGGGGAGAGTATCAGTGCCATGGGTAATTTCTCTTCCTTCTTCTCCCCGTCCTCCTTCTTAGTCTTGGAGCTCTCGCCCGGGCGAGAGAGATAGTGCTCCAAAATCGGGATTCCGAATGCAAGCGTCTTTCCGGAACCAGTGCTTGCTTTGCCAATTAAGTCATGTCCCGCGATGATCTCGGGAATTGCGGAGGATTGGATAGGTGTTGGTGTGTTAAATTTTAGTTTTGAAAGGGCGCGGAGCGTAGGGAGGGAAAGGTTTAGGGAATCCCAGGCTGGGAGGGAGACTATTTTGCCGACGGTGATTAGCTTCATAAATAGCGAGGGGAATTAGAGAGTGAAGGGGGGTAATTACCATCTTCATCCTCATCCGGTAACAAAGCAAACGACCCCCCAAGCTCATTATCCTCAGATTTCGACTTTTTATCCTTCCGCTGTTGCTTTTCAGACTTTATCGGCGCAGCTTTCTTCTTCTTCTTCTTCTCTTTCTTAGAAACCACTTCTTTCCTCCCCTCCTCCTCATCACTATTAATCCCCTCCCACTCATCATCACCAACTACCTCTTTCTTCCTCTTCTCCCCCTTCTTCCCCCCTTTCTTCCCCCCCGCCAAATCACAAACTTTATACCCAACCACCCCCCCACCATCGATCTCAACATCTACCCCGTCAACCTCGTCAAGTCCATAAAACCCCTCAACATCATCTAACCTATCTGGCATGGCAATCGCTTTCCAGCCCAATTCGTCCAGAGTGACTTTGTATCCATTGTTTGTCTTTGCGCGCTTGTTCGCTGGCTTCGGATCTGCCTGGCGGGCACGCTTTTTGGATTTTGTGGTGGTTGTGGTGGGTGGCATTTTTTGGTGGTGGTGGTGACGATCGTTGTGGTTTTTTTTGTTTCTGTAACTTTTTTTATGCCTGGGATGGATGGCTGCAGGCAGGGTGCGGATGTTGCCGTGGTGGGGTTGGGGGTTGGCTGTGGTGATGGTTACCCTGCTTTTGGGAGGGGCAGAGGGGGGCGTCATGAGGTGTCACTCTTGTGAAGATAAATTCCATTACAGAGGCGGATGGCTACAGTAGATGATTCTTGACATACAAAGTAGAGAACTGAGTTTATACATTCTGATCTAAAAAGCACCAGCGACCCATCAAGTACAAACCAAATTTTTGAAGATAAAAAAAAAAGACATAAACAAGAACCAGCCCAATTACTTTTTTGTAGAGGTATAAGAGAAGGAAATTAGTTTACAAGGCATGATAAAACAATTAACCAGAAGTACTCCCTGCCAGTAACATATTCAACATCCCCACGATCAGGCTCGATTGTTTTGAATTCTCCACTTCGTGCTTGACGCGGAGGTGGAGTCTTCTCATGAGCTTGTCAAAGTCTGGGGACTTTCCCAGGTCGTGGGAGTACATGTCTACCCAGTGGTTAGCTTGGTAGGAGTGAATGGCTAGGGGAGGGAGACGGATAGGGTCATTTACCAAGGATTGATAGAGAAACTTCTACAATGATTGAAACGTATTGGGGGTTGGGGAGATACTTGATTAGCCACCTAAGGATCGGTTTCAAGGTGTTTTCGTCACGATTGGCCAGTGCTGCATTGAGGGCATTGCGATGGCGGAGCTCTCCGAACATTGTGAAGACGGTGATGTGAGGTTGGTTCTACGTTATTTAAGTATAAATCGATTAATACAAGGATAGGGGGACAAACCGACATGAGAGCGAAGTCCAAGGCATCGTCGTAATTCCCCCGGCGGAGGTGCTGTTCCCAAGCTCTCTCCTTCTTCTTTTGCGTGTTTTGTTGCACAACTATATCTGCTCCTTCCCCTTTGTAATCCATTCCTTTGGTACGTCTTCTCTGCGCACTGGTCTTTGACTTGGGACCGCCCGTGCCGGTAATGGGATCAATTCCAGCAGCAATCATGTCCAGGACCCTCTCCTTTTCTTTGGCCTTTTCCTTCTCTCTGCCGCTGCTGCGGGTACGCACACTCAATAGTCCATTGGACATACCAACCACTAAATGTTTTTCATCGGGAGAAATACCAATTGCGAGAATTGGCGAAGGGTATTTGACGCCGTGAACAACCTTCCAAGTAGTAGGATCGTAAACCTTCACATGGCCGTCAAGTGCACCAGTCAAGACTCTCCTTCCGCCATTCTGTGGACCGGTGGATAGTGCTAATGAAGTGATACTCTTCTGGTGGTTGTGTAGCACAGCAACACGCTTGGCCGCAATCACATCCCATACATGAACGGTCGGTCCATTGGAGGCCAGGATGGTTGTTCCGCCTGGCAAAATCAACAATGCATCGACGGGTGCCGGAACGTTGAATTCCATGCTCCATTGGTCGCTGACGGACCTGGAATCCCACAGTCTTACAGTCCTATCGTAACCTCCGGACACAACCGAATGGGGAGAACCAGGAACAAAAGAGGCAGCGCGGACGTAATCTTGATTTCCTATGAACGTATGTGTTGACTTCAAGGACGTCAAGTCCCAGAGACGAACAGTCTTGTCATCAGAGGCAGACAGTACTTGTGTCACATTTGTCGGTGAGAATTTTGTAACATTAACGGTGTTCCCATTGTGCTCATCCCATGTCTTGATGACCGCTCTCGAGCCAATGTCAAAAACCTGAATCAGCCCGTTGTCATCACCGGCAACCAAAACTTTTCCGTCAGAGCGAAAGCTTCCTGATTGCGCAGGCGCTTGGAATCTTGATATTGTCTTTGAGACGGCCCGGGTTTTCGACGAATACACCTTGACAAGTGTAGAGGCAGTGACAGCGAAATCATGGGGCGAAACTGGAGAGAAATTAATAGATTTGATCGCTCCATATTCTTGAATTAGAAGGTGCGACTTGAATGTTTCCCAATAACGTTGCTCTGGGGTTGAGGCGGCGGGGAGAGCGGGCAGCCTGGTGAGCGGTATACGGGTGACTGGTGCAGCCATGACTATAGAAAATTGACCAGCTAAAGCTGGCCGGGACGGGCAAGAGTTGTTGGGATAAGGATGGGGTTTTGTAAGTATGTGAATTAGCGGACACTGAGTGGTGAGGGGAATGAATGAAGGTTTGCTGGTGAGCGAGGAACTTTCGGTGAACTTGATGCCTTTTTTTTTTTTGCGGCTCCGATCTTATCTTATCTGGAATTGTCCTTACTGGATCTGGCAACATGAAAACGCAGGTAGGCTGGACCATGTCACTCAGAGGAGGGCTGCCTGTGACAGGAAATACGCACCACATTTTCCTGTGGTGCCAATTAAGTTATCAGATTCTCCAAAATTTAATGTATCATAAGAGCCCAAATCTGATAAGTTGGTCTTTGCCATCCCTTGGTACGTTTTTAAGCATTTGAACTATATAACAGCATTGCTAACCTGTAGGATGCAAAGTACAAGTGGCAAAATAACCTAAAGGCCCCCCTAATACTGTGACAGATCCTCTATAGATTTATTAGCCAGGTCTCAGTTGAGATTTATGGCCTTTCCTATTTATCATTGAATTCTCCTACTAAAATCTCCATCTCTTGTGCTAAAAGTGTGTGAAAACCGGGACGGATGATGGGATAGCATTCGTCCTGCTATAGTGATTATGCCACAGGATGAAAAGGAAAAACCCGAATCAAGCATTTAAGCGATTTTTGAATTATGATACTTAAAGTGAATTCTAAGGCTGGTTTCTGTCTTCTCACTTATTGAACAGACCAACTCTATTCAAAAGCTACTAGAATCTTATCTGATCATTCATTGGTGGTAACCTAGACTCGTATCACAGTTCGACGGAAGAGTCAGTTCACGTATACTGAAAACAAGAACCAGATGTTAAAGTGCGGAATTACGCTGTGCTCAGGAGCGTTCAACTATGGCCAAGTCTATATTGTACTGTACACTTATCAAAAAGTGGGATCTGATCATCTGATAATGGATCTAATCAGATTTATCAAGTCTGAAAATATCCTAAACCCTGTAAACCTCCAACTCATCTCTAACC